AGCCACCACTTTTTCTATGTACATCTATTTTTCCATTTTGAAATAACATACCCACATTTTAGACTATTTAGAAAACAAAGAACCAAAATTGCCCATATTTTCACCACCATCAAATAGCCGGCCACTTGATATCCAACCAGCGTATTTTATTCCCTTTTCCTTATTTGAGATCGTTAGAATCTGTGTACTTATACATAATGTTGAAATTTTGCTTTTTTTTCACTTATCACTATCATAAGCATTTTCTCTCGTAATATTTACTTTTGAAAACCACTCATATATTTTTCTAACAAATTTTCTTATGCAGTTGTACCTATTTTAACTGTCATTTCTTATGTAATAATGTGCTCTATACCTTCTACCATGCAGTTAAAATATCCTTGCAGAGGCTTGGTGCCTATGGCTTAAGCAGCTAAGAGCCAGCCATATACACCTGAGCTGGCGGGTTCAAATCCAGCCCAGACCCACCAAACAACAAAGACGGCTGCAACCAAAAAATAGCTGGGCATTGTGGCAGGCGCCTGTAGTCCCAGCTACTTGGGAGTCTGAGGCAAAAGAAGTTCTTGAGCTGGGAGTTGGAAGTTGCTGTGTGCTGTGATGCCATGGCACTCTACCCAGGGTGACAGCTTGAGGCTCTGTCTCAAACAAACAAACAAACAAAAATCAAGTGGTGTGTGCTGTGATGCCATGGCACTCTACCCAGGGTGACAGCTTGAGGCTCTGTCTCAAACAAACAAACAAACAAAAATCCTTACAGAGTGGGTAAAAGCTCAGGGGGATGGGCAGCCAGATGAACCTGACCGGAACTCTACTCAGGGTCCACTGTGTCTACAGATGCCACTCTCTGTTTCTCACTATCGTCACATGCATCTTTCATGATGGCACATGCTGTTAATAAGCTCAGCCCTGGCTCGGCGCCTGTGGCTCAAGCGGCTAAGGTGCCAGCCACATACACCTAAGGTGGTGGGTTCGAATCCCCAGCCTGGACCCGCCAAACAACAATGATGGCTGCAACCAAAAAAT